CCCGCACTCCCCCACCACCAACAATCTACCCAATTCCCCTCACCCGCCTCCTCCCGCTATAGTGAATCCATTCCTCACACCTCCGGCCTCATTTCAGCCCTCCTATTTCCAAGAAATGATTGTCTGACTTACACTTCGAGGCGCGTATGTGTGTCCGTGTGTGTGATTTTTATTTATTTTTTTTTCTTGTTCCCCTTTTGTTGTTGCTGTTGCGGTGTCTCTTTCAAAGTCAACAGAAGACTGAACGCTTCCTTCACGAGACAAAAGTTGGCACGGCAACGTCCTTTGAGGACCTTTGTTACGAAGGCAAACGCTTTGAAATGCATCACCAGGTGTTGAAACGTTAAAAGGCGGGGCTCGAAAAGTATTTGGATTACCATGCCGATTCTGATATTCGGCAGGGTAAAATTCCAATAACTGATTAATCAGCCGATCAATTTTAAAAACAGAAAATGAATATCATAGCTTATTTTTTTGGTACCCTATCACGAACAAAAATAAACGTGAATTACAGACAGAACTTGCTTAAATTTACAACAGAAAGAAAAATCGGCAAATATATTACAGACCTTCAGAAAATGACACAAAATGAGAACGAAACTGAAATGTCAAAAATAAAACGCTACTGTCACATTTTTGTTAGGCGGTCAGATTTTTTTCCTTTTAGTAAAACACGTGCCTGGGCGAAAAAATAATTGGAGGAGCACTCATCCACGGAAATCAAAAAACCCAATTTCACTCTCGATATTTCTGACGGCTAGCAACATTCATGTGAATTCTGCAGGCCCGAGCATTAGACACACACGTATAAATGTCCACCGGTAACGGCGCAAATGTCGCATACTGATTTCCTCCGCCTTTGAGAACCACGGAACAGTGTCACTAATCCAGGCGAGGACGAGAGCCCGCGTTTACACTCGGCAAGGTCTTAAGGAGGGATCCGATCGGAGCTTTCAAGTGAGTATTAGCCCAAAGCCCGGCGGCGGGGTCTCGGCGCGTCCTTTGTTCCGAAACCGCTCGAGAGCAAAAGCTGCATTGTTTGTGTGATGTCGGGAGATAACGGCGACGGGCGCCACTGAAGTCTGAAGTAGGAATAAAAGACTCGAGATTACCTGGGCAGTTATTTAATGCCCTGGCGGTTATTACGCAATCCGTGTTGATTATGGCGGCAGATGATTTTCGGAGAAAAGACAAAACTATAGATCAGGTCAGCATGATTTGACAATACTGAACAAATACGGCCTAAAAAAATAAATAAGCCTGTTTTAGAATGGGCGGCTCAATTTATACGGCAGCAAAATAGGGGGAATTTGCACACGGTACTAAAGACGTATCCCAATCGGTTTCATCGAGTCCACTCGGTGACACGCTCGCTCGCGATTCTTATTCCTGAGGCTATTTTCAATTTCCAGGCCCTTCTGGCTGACTCCGGGGATCGAAAAGATCAGTGGGATTCAGTTCGAGGCACCTGAGCATGACGTCGCGATAGACGGCGGCAAAACAAGCCGCCGGATGAGTCGGTCCTCTTTGTAGGGATCGTGGGCGAGATCACATAAAGACCGCAGATGTCTCGCTCTGGCACAAATCAAACAAAGTGCGGACAAAGGCCAGAAGAGGACAAAGAACTCATCAAAGCCTGAGTGGATTTCAGCTGAGCTGTTTCAAACTTTCAAGTTCAGAAGAGATTTGACATGTGGTGCCACGGTCGGGAACCATGAAATAAATCAATAATTATATTTGAAGTATAATACATATATATGGATTCAGATTCTCGGAGAAGCACCTTCATTAAGTCCAAAAGAGAAAAGACTTCTTTCTTTTCGACAACGTTCTCACCATTAAGTTCCTCTTCGCGCCGAGAGAAGTGGAAGGCGATAAGATGCTGACCCAAGATAGAAGATGACTTTGCATCGCCACATTCCACCCCCGAAACAACAAAATCAGAAAAAACTTTTTTCCTCCTTTCATATGATTCATTTGTGTTTTATTTCTTATCGCAAACTTGAGGCTGATCTATTTTAGATTAAAAACTCATAAGATAAAATAATTCAGTTGTTTTCGTGAACATGAATGGCAAAATGTTACACATTATTTGTTATTGCACCTCATAAAACCCCCCAAACAGCGTTTTTGCGACATTTTTTGCATGTTGGACATTGTGCTGCTCCTTCTGTTATGTGTGCCCTGGCCACCTGGTGCCAGTATATTACGACATTGAGACGGTTAGTCATTTTTTGCTGATGATAAAGAATACATACGCAGATTTATGAATTCTCAGATTGTTTTTCAATCATTTTAACAAGATATTTTACATTATTTATTGTTTTGTCATTTTTGTTTTGTTTTTGGGGGGGAGCAACCCTCGTTTTTTGGGGGGGTGGTAAACGCATATTGGAATTTATCCCGGTCGTCTCCAAAATTTTGAGGGTTTGAAAAAAAAAAAAAAAAAAAATCATAGATCCATCCATCCATCCATCCATTTTCAACACCGCTTATCCTGGACAAATATTTTATTCAGTATATTTGCCCGGGAAAATTGCTCAATTATCTGTCTACATGTGTTGTACCACCCAACATAATACATGTATTTCATTCACTATCTTTGCCGGGGAAAATTGTTGTATTATATGTCTACCTGTGTTGCACCACCCGCCTATGGCGTTTCCCATTATTTGTGTTAGCATGAAGCTAGCAAACTTTCCTGAGACAAAGCGATGTGACTTGGTTGAATATGCATGTGATTCTCTTTGTTTTATGTTTAGTCTGACAGTGAATTTTCACTGGAAGCGGAAATAAACAGCCTGAAGCGTCTCTTTTTGAAGAATGGCTCATGATGCTAACCTGCTACTTGAGTTTCACGGCTCGTATCGGGAAAATGTGTAACTCGGGTCACTCGTATCTCAAGGCGTCGCTGTATAGAGCTCTGTTACTTCCCACCACTGGCAGCTTTCACTAACTATCGAACGCACATATAAAAAGAGGCATCACGAGGAGACTGGCAGAGACAAAAGTCGAACATCCGACAGCGCTCGTTCATCAGCCTGATCACGCAGGAAACGGTCATTTGCTGGGAAGGTGAGCAAATACATGTTGGAAAAAAAAAGTGTCTTATCATGAACTGAAGTGTAATTTTTGGTCGGCGTAGGATGAAGTGGACAGCTGCATTCCTGGTCCTGGTCATCGTGGTGCTGATGGCACAGCCCGGAGAATGTTTTTTGGGACTCATTTTTCACGGCCTAGTTCACGGTATTTTTATGATTATTTAGTATTTACAATAGCACATTTTCATTTCTTTGGGTTCCATGTGACTGTTCTAATCGCGCTTGTTATTTTTTGTTTTTTGTTTTAGCCGGAAAGCTCATCCACGGGTAAGGCTTTGTATTTCTTTGATTGTTGTCGGCATTTGAGTTTCAATTGTGCGGTTCTATCGTGTCCAGGTTGATCCACAGGAATCGCGGCTTTGAAGAGCAAGAGGAGCTCAACAAGCGCTCGGTGGAATTTGTGGCTGACCAGCAGGCTATGAACTGAGGTCGTTTGCTTGCATTGCATGCGGTGTTGCTGTTTGTATTTTAAATTTTTTTTTTTTTTTTTTTTTAGCTCCATAGAAAATGCTTGAGATGCACAACAAAGTGAGGTGCTGCTTTGTGCAATGTGAAATAAATCTGCAATTTCATTTCTTCTGTCTCTTTGTTCTATTTTTTTTTTTAATTCTCGGTCTGATATGAAGAGTGTCTTTGAGAATAATATCTGATAAAAAAAAAATATATATATATATATATATATATATATTGACATGCACAAGTACAGTGTTAGCAAATCTGCATGAATAAAGACAATTTTACCGGGCTTATGTTGCCATTAAACAGGAATTTCAATTTCCCTTTTTTTTTTTTTTTTTCATGAAGAGAAAAGAATGTTGATTGGAATAAAAGTCAATGCTAATAAAGAAATCTACAGAAATGTAATAAAAGTGTTCTTCCTTTGTCATAGTGTTATTTTATAATAATGGTTTTCATGTATATTATTACATTCATATATAAGCGCTATATAAATCAGCATGTATTGTATTGTATTGTATATATAAATACGTAATTAAAATATTCAAAGGAGCTCCAGTGAACACAGCAAATGTTTAGATTTTTTTTCTTTGTTTGTTTTTAATGTTATCCGTAATAATTGGTATTCTTTGCAGTGTGATTTAAGCCTCCTGTTGTTTAAAATGGCCAGCTTTCAAGTTTAAGTAATTTTATGGACAATTATTGAAGATGAAAAGACTTGTGATGGCTTCATTGTTTTTTTGTTGTTTTTTTCCTTCTTTCTTTGTGAAATTACAAAAAAAAACACTAATCCATTATCCACTTTGTGGAGGGTTTGACGAGATGCATAAAAAAAAGCCATTAATTACATTTTTTTTTAATGATCTTATTTTCACTCTCAGAAATGCTTACATTTTCCAATGCTACTATTTAACAATGATGTAGATTTATTATTTATTCTAAATGTACAAAATATTGATCACAAAACCCCTTGTGATGGCTATACTTTTGTTCTTTGTTTAAACAGAATGCAATTTTTTAAATGGCTTATCTTGTTTCAAGATCTTTTTTGAATCCAATGTCCCGGGTTTGTCAAAGTTACATTACAGTGAAGATTAATATTAAAACATTTATTTTTTTTATTGTTGTTTTTTTTTATGGTAATGCTTGTACTTTGCAATTTTTCTAATTACATATACTGTATTTTGAACTTTTTTTTTTTTTTTTTTTTTTTTAACCGACAGATCTGAGTCCCATGAAGACGACGGGCCAGGGTACGAAAATCCACTTCCCTTCATTGGTTCCCAAGCATCAATGTGTTGACGCTTGATAAACATGACACGACCACAAGCAGAACTCAAAACCACCATCAACGCCTGATGGTGTGAGATATTCGCCGGACATTCTGCGCTTGACCAGAAATGGTCCGAGACGCAAAGACTGCCCATTTAAATGAAAGCAACGGACGGAAGCAGTCAAACATCACATCGCCGACTTGACTGTGTTTGGTTATTTCGCTCTGTCGGAAGGTAGGAGAACATTTTTAATATAATTAATCATAGATTACTTTTTTTTTGGGGGGAGGCGGCGGCAGGATTACAAAACTGATATTCAAAGGCTGCACTTAACTAATGTGTTGTTTTAACTTCCTGTCTAGTGTTTTGTTTTTTTTCTGGACGATGAAGTTGGTCACGCTCTTCCTGGTGTTGTCGCTTGTGGTGCTCATGGCCGAGCCTGGCGAGTGTTTCTTCAGAAATCTCTGGAAGGGCGCCAAGGCGGCGTTCAGAGCAGGGCATGCGGCATGGAGAGGTAAATGCCTTTATCCTTGAAATGATTTGATACATGTAATCATTCCGTGCCTCTGTTCTTTTACTGTTTCCTTTTTTAATTTTTTTTATTTTTTTATTTTAGCTCACCGAGAACAAGTCCGTGAGCAAAAGAGGATTGCTTGGTAAGCATTCGGTGCAATAAAACTGTACTCATAACTAGAAATGATCATTTTGGTCGAAAAATAAGCAGTTTTGCCAAAACTACGAAAGGTTTCAACATTTTTGGTGTTAACAAATGTGCTGACAACCAGCCAGTAGAGATAAAGTGGAGTAGAAGCGGTGAGTGACATGGGTGGCGCTTTGAATCACGATGTGAGTCCTGTATTAAAGCAGACAAAATGGTAAAATATGTTCAATTTTGATTCACTCATCCGTGCCGCCATTTTGTCTAAATTGAGTATTGGTGAGCAGCCACTGAACGTAGAAGTAAAAATTCCAAATTAATGGAGATAATCTCGCACGTAGTCTCCAAAATTTTCAGCCGATTGAAACCATTCCAACATCAAAATGCTCAGTTTGTGCATTCACGACATGATAACAATCCTCAACGTCTTCCTCTTTCTCCAACCAGGGAGAACCGACAACAGAATGCTTACCCGCCGCCACAGCAATACGTGCCCGTCATCGTCGAGGACTGAAAGCAATATCCAAGTTGAAGATGTGGAACTCGCTGCAAAACCAACATTCATACGGCTTGCTAGCAAATGATTTGATTTCATTTTAAACGTCATCAGTGCCTTGCTAAATAAAGCAAATACGAAAAAGAGAAATGAGGCTTTTTGTTCTATACAGTCCCTCGCTGACAGACATTAAAAAGCACAGGGAGCCAGCCATTTTGGTTGACATTGCCATTTTGGACAAAGTTTTCAGGGGTCTATCAAAAGCGATCGCTCATCTCGGGAAATATAAACAAAACTACGAAAGGTTGAGATACACGTTCAATTTGTTCCGTGCCCACGTTTGGAAACCAGAGTACTTTCGTCATACAGACAAACCAAGACAAATTTTCCTCTACTCCCGAAATAAACTGCAATAATTGTCAATTTTTGCAGAGGATAAAGAATATATTCAAATGTTCAGTCCTTAAAGCGTTATTAGACCACCACTACTTGTTTGCCTGTGTATAGCATTTCATATGCTAGCATGATGCTATTGAACTTTAAGGTTATGTGGTTATTATAAAATACGCATCGTGTAGTTGTCACTATAATAAGTTGTTTTTTTTGGGGGGGAGAGGATAAAGAATATATGCATGTAAGCATTGCTATATTATCTGATGACCCCCCCTCCCCCACTGTCCCGCCTTTTCAAGCATGCCCTTCCACGCTTAAAAAGGCAGAAAAAAGGCCCTCTTTTGCAAGTGCCACCAGCCGCCTACCCGCTCTCACCGCCAGCCTAAACGCAAGAAAACAAACAGGCAATGAGCCAGGAGGAAGTAACATTTGCTTTGTGCGCTGGGCTGGAAACAAATGGACTGGAAATGAGAGAGGAATCGGATCCTAGTGGTGTGGGGTAGCTGGGGGCAGGTTCATGTGGGGGTGGTGGGGGGGGTGTAGTGGTCTCGGTTTAATGTGAGGGTCACTCGTGTCATCGGCGCTGTTGTTTACTGAGAAGCTCTCGATGGACGGACATGGACATGCACACACACACACACACACACACACACCAGCATCAAGGTTAAAGACGGGTGTGCATGTAAGCAGAGATCTCTTTATCAACACTAAAGACGGTTGTGTGGACCCACCACGATATTACTACAACATGGTAAGGTTTGACCTATAAGTGCAAAAAGCTGCCATGTTGTTTTCTAAGCGCTGTCGTTAAAAATGTCCAAAGAAAAGCCCGACACAAAACAGTCCGCTCAAAGTTCCTGCTCACCGTTGTGAGCGCATACATCGCCTGCCAATCAAACGCACGTTAATGGCGCGCCCGTTAAATCAAACGCGAACAACGATGGGGGCGTGTCAACCGCGGTCACGGCCGCCTTGTCGGGCACGACAAGACAAGAACAATATGTTGGTGCTAATGAGTGCGCCGTCATTCAACTTGCTCTCTTTTTCTTTTCTTTTTTTTCCCCCCCACCAACAATCCGTCTGCCTGAACAGTCTGCAATTATCATGTCGGGCTGCTGAATGGAAGTGGAACTTTTGTCTGGCACGCTAATGTGCATCACTGCATTTTTTTTTGTTTTTTTTTTTGTGGCAGTTTTTCAAAGCCAAGGTCAGGGTCAGGCTCTGTGATTAGTCTGAATGACTAATTTGGTGCTGTTTTTTTTTTTTTAATGCAAGTAAAAAAAAAAAAAGAGTAGAACAAGACGCGAGTCGCTCAAGGTTTGAAGCACGGCGGTACCTTGAGATAGATCTCATTCCACAAGTAACTAGCGGTGAGGTTCATGACCAATGAGGCACTGATTCATCTGGAGTTGCATAAACAGTAAAAATATAAACCCAAAATGGATGCGCCGACGATTCAATTTTGACTTGAATTGAAACATTTGTTTTCAAAGCTTCAGTAAAACATCCTGAATACATAAAAGTAACAATTGGTAGAATGCATGAATGAGTTCAAAGCAAACATGGTGAAGCAGCATTTTGCTGTTATGCTGCACGCAAATTGAATCAGCTGCCACCAGAAGTCAAGTGTAAATGCTTGGAAACCTTGGTTAAAAACTATGGATGTTTAAGTTTTATTTTATCTAATTCACATTTATAATAGTGGGAATGCATTTTAATTCATATTTCAAACATACCTTTTTAAAGATCTTCACATATTTTAAAATTTCTTTTCCGAGCATCCTTTTGAAAAGGAAACGGCTCCGAATAGTGTGCAATGCGGTTCCACGAGCTGCAATTTAACCACGGTTCCGGGTGTTTATACACACGTCATATTTATGTTCGGCGCAGCGTCTGCCCTCCGGGCGGGGTGACATCACGGTAAGCGGAGACCTGCGGTTTGCGGCGGGCCAATATTAGTTAAGTATTTATTTACCAATGCAGCCGGCGGCGTCCCGTGAATTATTCATCTTCCTCGCTCGCGGGGAGTCTGTTGGCAGCAGAAAGGAAATCAATGTAAAACGATGACGGGTGGCAGACTGCGGCAGGTCGCCCACCTGCAGTATCTACGCTAGCTGCCCGTGTAAAGCGATCGGGTCTGCTGATCGCGGGGAAACAGAGTCTTTCCCTGGGAGGTGGGGTGGGGGGAGAGAGCCGTCTCCTCCGTCCGCAGCTGTCAAACAGCGGACATGGCGGTAACTCGGTGCGTTTTCTCAAACATGAACCTGCTCACCACTTAGCGCAACCTCTGTCAACAGCCACTAGCACTTCAGATGGAAACACGACAAAGACGCTTCGGACGTGGCAAGACGGTGGTGTGACTCTGGTTTCTTCCCATGAACAGATGAGATTGTTTCACGAAAACTCACATGAAAACTTGAAAAGACAACATTTGAAAAAGCAGCAGCAAAAAAATAAAACACGTTTTTGGCAGATACAACTCTTCAAAAATAGGCCTCAAACTTTACATGCCACTGCCAGTTGAAATTAACTGTCAAACTAGACATAAAGCAAAGAGACTTACACTTTATGCATTTAAAACGACCCCACAGCTTGGAAAATCCACTTAATAAAAGCTTAATGCTAACAGGCAATGCAAAACGCCCTAGGCAGGCTAGCAAATAGCATCATGTGATGGTATTATAACCCTTTTCAGCAACAACTATTTGAACAAAAACAGTGCTGCGACAGAGTTAGCCAGATAATATCAAAATAATCACAGATATTATTTATCCTCTGCGAAGAGTAACTAATATGTTTGCATGAAGAAAATAATACGTCCACCTCACAGTGCAGAGGAGCAGGGTTCGATTCCGGCTACGGCCCTCCCTGTGTGGAGTTTGCATGCTCTCCCCGTGCCTCTGTGGGTTTTTCTCCGGGTACTCCGGTTTCCTCCCACATTCCAAGAACATGCGTAGCAGTCTGATGGAACACTAGGTGTGATTGTGAGCGCCAACGGTTGTTCGTCTATGTGTGTCCTGGCAACTGGTTCAGGGTGTTCCCCGCCTACTGCCCCGATGGCGGCCGGGATAGGCTCCAGCGCGCCGGCCACCCTCGTGAGGAGAAGCGGATTAGAAAATGGATGGACGGATGGATGGAGTTACAAGCACGGTGACAGAATGAATTGAACGCATATGTCAAGGCACCACTATATTAAGCAATTCTTCCATAATCTCTCCCTACTTCCACATGCCTGCTTGTGTTTCGCATCAATCACTCAGCCCCCGTTTTCGTCACTTGAAAATCCTCTCCAGTCCGATGGAGACAAACGGCCGCAGGATAATTGAGCACTAACACGAGCGCTGACGAGATGAATGAAGACAGATGACGATCCCTCTCTACCCGGGACGTTTTTTTTTTTTTTTTGCCCCTCACAGTCAAAGTCGCTCGTGAGCCATTTTTCCCCCCCTTGTCTTGCCAATTTATGCCCCAAAACAGCAGACGACTGACTAACTTTTCGAAAATGTAAAAAAAAAAAAAAAAAAAAAACTCTGAATATCCATCCAAGCAAGTCCGAAAATTGGTGACTTAAGTTCGACTGGAGTCAAGTCACATGACCGGAGTACGCCACACTATGACTACAAGTATGCGTCGTTGCAAGGGAAGTATAGGGAGGAGGGCGAGCACTCCGGAAAAGAAAATTGAGGAAGCAAAGTGCGTTTTCAATTATATTCCGAAGGTGCAGCGCCTCGAGGAGACACGGTGAGCAGAGAATATAGGGACGATCCATCACGCCGACACTCGGCTAGCACTGTCTGAGGAAAACACACGCACACAAACAAGGGGTGTGAAGTGAGACTTCTATTTTTCGGAGGTAGAATGTAAAAAATAAGTGTTTTAGTTTGTCATGACATGAATGCAAATTTTTTGGATCGACAATGGGGGAAAACATTGATTGAAAGAAGAAAAATGTGATGGTCGATAACAGAAGCAATTCTGAGATTTGGATTTTAACCCGCACTTTCGTCTTTGGCCATTTCCCTGCTCTTTGCAGTGATTATTTCTGTTAATCGGAGCGCGGCGGCGGATAATTGACCCAGCGCCAGTCCCCCCCCAACCCCCCCCCCCCCGCTCATATTCAATTCATAAAGCCCATTTCATTTATTTTCGCTCCCCGCTGATTGAGATGATGATCACATTACATCGCTCCGCCGGCCTCAAAAGATGAGAAATAAAGATTTAGGAGGGAAATTGATGAGTCACCTTCCTCAAGAAACGCCCTCAAAGTTTTGAAGCAGCTCACATACTTAAAAGGAGCATTCTTCGAGATTTAATTGACCGTCGGAGAGCTTGGAAATCAAACGAATGGACCTTGATGAGGAAAGAAGGTTTCCCCATGCCTGACTGAACTTTTTATGAGCTGTAGAGGGAATGTATGTCACCCATGGGTTAAATCGAACTTATGAGACTAAAATATCGATGTGGAACAGATTAATTTATTGTTTGTGTTTGTTAAAAAAATACATCGGAAGAGGATCTTGGGGGAAAAAAAGAAGAATCGCGGATTACTTCGTAAGTCTCAACAGCGACAGTGAAGGGGAAAAAAAAGATTTTTCAAAAATGTTAAGCTTTACTCATAATGTCGTGTTACAATGCACAGCCACATGGGAGAAAGTCAACCAGGAGGGCAAGGAGGTGGGGGGGTTT